AGGAGAGAGCAGAGGAGTCACAAATAAAAGCTGCGCTCTCACATCTAATGTTTGGGAGGCGGTGTTTCTTCATTAATCAGTGAGGTCACCTCCCTGTGAATTGGTTTTGAAACAGCATCACAGACACTAGACAAGAGTTGCCCGGGCCCAACGCTGTGGTTAGGTGTGGGACACCTGTCGTCATCAGCATCCCCGTCGAGGTCTCTCATGTGAAGGTACCAGGGGCTCTGTACTCACAGGGGCCTGGCCTGACATTCCAGCTCTGCTGTGCACTAGGCCATTTTTGTCTGCTGGACAAAAGGGCACTTGGGCTCTTCTGACTTTATTTTTCCAATCTCAGGCTCCTCACCTGTCAAAACAGGGCCACCAAGACCTACTCACAGCACTGTTGCGAGGTTAATCAGCCAACACATGGAGAGGTCTCAGCATGGCGTCTGGCGCATAGGACACATTCAATGCTTTGGTTAGTTCATTGTGGCAAGATGTGTTTTACTGTCTATCACAGTGAGCAAGCCGTGGCCCACAGAACAGATCTGGCCCACAGACATGTCTTATTTTGTTGAATGCTGTTTTTAAAATTGTAAGATATCCAGTGTGCCATAGGCTCCACCACTCCCTACTATATCATGCAGCATACTTCATTCATTAATGTTCCTGCCCTGTGGACATTTGAATTTAAGACTCTTGCCCTATATTATGGAAATAATAATGCTATTAATCCAAGGAGACTGAAATCCCTGTCTCATAAATTCAGAATGTTAATGTCATTTGTAAATATCATTTTCCACAAAGGAATCCCCTAAGCATATGAATAAAATAAGCTAAACAACCAACCTGTGAAGTCAGGAAGGAAATGGAAAAGGAAAGAAAAGAAGAAAATGACTATAATGTTTTGTTGCATTTTCACTTTTATAGGCACTGCTAATCTGGTTCAGACCTTGGAAGGAAAATTATCTCTTTCTAAGTTAGTACTTGTACTGTAATTAGCTTTCAGGATATTAGACATTGATGCTACAAACATCGATGTTATAACTTGGCTGGACCATGCCCTTAGGATCCCAATTACAGATCTGAATCATTCTCACAGTGGATTCGAACGAGCTTCTTGCCTTGTACTAAGTGATAGCTCTGTTAGCTTCATCATCTTTACTGCTACTTAGGTAACCGTCTTACATTATTTAGGTTTTAAGATCTCAAATATCACTAACAAAACAAAGTTCTGACAATATTTTTTGACTCTTGAAAAGATCTGGCATAGCCAACCTGTTACTGCTGAACAGTAACAGATCCACAGAGCAATGTCGTATGTAAGAAATAGTTTTCCCAACTGGAAAAGCATTTCACCCAAATACAATCAATGTGAAATAACACTGAACTCCGCCAAGGAGGACATCACATCTGGTTGCCATTTTCCTTTTCTGTCCGGGTTCAGTTGGTTCAGAGGGAAAATCCAGGCAAAAAGAATGCTGCCCCCTAATTCCTTTCATTCTCCTTCCTTGGAAGCCCAAACTGCATAGGCCTGCTGACTTTGCCACCAGAAGGAATCAGCATTTTCTGAGTACTTTCAGGCTAAGAATGAGCAACCTTTTAAGAAACTTTTAAAGAGTCTGGAAGACTCTGGGGGTTCTAGAAAAAAGGTGATACTGCCAGCTGGTCCCTGACTCTCATTAACTTGGGTAAAGGGGCTGCTCAGCAAGTGTGTGGCAGCTTTTTATGCTGGGGAAGCTGAGAGCCCCTCATGCCAGCCACCAATCTGAAGTCTGGTGGGGGTTTCAGTCTCGAGTGATTCCTGGGGTGGCAGAGAACAATAAATGACAATAGCAAAAGATCCATCATTTGGAGCTCAGAAATTCACTCAACATAATTTGAACAGAAATGGAATTTTTTAGCTTAAGTAACTGGGAAGCTCAGAGGTACAGTTGGCTGGTGGCCTTCAGCTGGATCCAGCGGCTTCGATGCCACCATAAGACACCTGTCCCCTTTTCCCTGCCTAATTGTGTTTTGGCTTTCCTCACATGTCTTGGCAACTCTGAGGTCACATGTTTATTATAAGAATTATTCACACCAAAAAAAGGAAGGAAGGAAGGAGGGAAGGAAGGAAGGAAGGAGGGAAGGAAGGAAGGAAGGAGGGAAGGAAGGAAGGAAGGAGGGAGGGAGGGAGGAAGGGAGGGAGGGAGGGAGGGAGGGAGGGAGAAGAGAAAGAGAGAAAGGCAAGGGAAGGCAAGGGAAGGCAAACCTCTTTCACAATAGTCCCAGGTAAAACCTAGAGAGAGCTCTAATAGCCTTAGCTTGGTGCCCACACCCACCCCTACACCACTCCCCAGGGCCCTCCCGTTGCATGGGCCTGAGTTATGTGCCTGCTCAGAGGACATGGAATACATTCTGTTATAGCTTCTGCTGTCTAGTACAGTTCACTGTAACTCACTGCCAAAAGATGTTAACTTACCATTCCCAATGGAGGGAATTTGTTCAAGTATCAAAATGCCTAGAATCATCTGACACCTGTACAGGTAAACAGAAAATAGAGACATACAATATAGCATTAATTCTCACAATTAGGAATTGCATGTAGCCACTGGTAACAGATCTGAAACCCAAATAGCTTAAGCAAAAGAGAAATTTATTTTTCTCTCTGATAAAAAATAATCCAGATAAGTCCATTTGAGGCTGCTATTATATGGCTGTTCCATAGTCTTCAGAGACCCAGTCCCTATTTATACTCAAGAATGCCTCATAGTCACATGATGTTCACTGTAGTTCCAGCCATCATGTTAATATTCCAGCAGCAACAAAGAAATAGAGGCAAGTACAAAGGTTGCACCTCCCAGCTGAATAAATGCCCATTTAAGCCTTTTCTCAGAAGCTCCTCCTTATGAATTCTGCTTACACTTCCTTGGCCATTCTTAAGCTCAGGGAAGGCCAAATGCATACTGGGAAGGCAAACTAGCCATCTCTGTTACAGATCCCAGAGTCCCAGTGGAATAAATGACTCTGTCCCCAAACAGGACAAAAGGCACAAGGCTAAAGCCCTTTAAACCCCACGCATTCTAGCCTCGGAAGAACCCAACAGTACCCAAGGCCCGGCCTGGTTATATGTATAATGTAACAAATGCAGATAGTTATTAACTTTCTGGTTTTAGCCATTACACGCTAAAGGTTTATTTTCAAGCTGCTTTTTTTTTTTAATGTGAATGTTTAAAAATATTTATCCAAAAAGTCTTGGCTTGCTTCTGTGTTCACCAATAGAGTTTATTTGTTTTTCAAAGTAAGTTTTAAAAACTGCAGGAAGCCTCCTATGGTAGTTAATACATTATCTTAAGCAATTTAATGCAAATTAATTTTTACACAACCTTGAGTTTTAAAAGCCATTGAACTGGGGAGGGAAGGAGTGAGATTTGGGAGGAATCTGTTCGCTGCTCCCCATCTGGACCCCGCAGCAGCCCATCTGCTCTCCTGTGTAGTGACTAGCACTTCGGCTGCCCCCCTGCAAACACCCATGTGCCGTTTAGCTTCTTTTTTCTTTTTCTTTTTCTTTTTCTTTTTTTTTTAACTCAGGAAGAGGTTAAAATGCTTACAAAGATGTGTATTTCAAGTTTTCTAGAAAAGTTGATGGCATTACTTTTGGCATTTCCAAATTCTGTTTTTTGTACCATAACCCAAGTTTCCACTGGGTTTTATGTTTTTTTTTCTCCTTTTGTTTCTAGATTTTATTCTCTTTTAATACTTTTCAGTAGGGTCTTATAGCACATTTGTACCAAATGAGAGACACAAAACGGTTCAGGGTAGGGAGTGGCGAGACTGGATGTGTGAGTTTGGGTGAGTGACCGCCTGAGGGTGGCTACCGTGTGGCGAGTGGGTTGGACCGGAGCGAAGGGAAGGCCGGGAGCCCAGTGAGGGGCAGCAGCAGGTTAAAGTAATTGAAAAGAGGATGCAGTCTGAACTAAAATTGTAAAAATGGCAATAGACTAACACACAAAGACGCTTTGGAAGTAGGATTGACAAAACTTGGTGACGGTTTGGATGTGGGGGAAAGGGAGATGGCATCAATGACCCGTGGATTTCTGGGTGGGCGGTTGGGAAGAGAAGATAACACGCAGTTCCCTGAGAGAGCCAGCCCGAGAGCAGCAGCAGATTTGGAGAAAGGTGGCAAGTTCAGTGCCGGGCAGTCAGTTCACTGTCCGGCCTTTACAACACAGTGGACGAGTAGGATTGACAAGCCAAGCATGACTCTGAGCCAACCGCATCATCGCAGCATGGCCTACAAAACTCAGGACTATGTCAGAATAAATCATGAATAATCTTTATCCTCAGGAACCAAGAAGAACTAGCTATTCAACAGTGCAGTACCTTAAAGTCTGGATTTGCTCACAGAATTGGCCACTTCTTTCTGAAGTCATATACCTGAAGCAGAAGCTTCCATTGTTTCTCAGAGATGCCCTCTGCCAGTCATGTGAATTCAAGAGAATTTCAGGGCCTGGCTCACAGGTCCCTCCTATTGAAGGTCTGGGCAGAGATGACACCAGTTGGTTATATTGACAATGATTTTCCATTTCAAAATACCAACCCTTAACTGGGCGGTTTGACATTTCACTCAGAAAGTAAATGATACAATAATAAAGTGATCACATCTTCATACCAGCAACACTGCCCTCGAACAGATGTTTGAGGTGGGCTCCAAGTGTATTTTTATATTTCATCAAAAAGTAGATATTTTTTAGAATACTTTAAATTCTCTCTTCTCTACCATGCATTTCTTCTCTCAGTTTCTGATTACTTCTCTTGAGTAAGGTATGAATGCGGGAAGGCAAAAAATACTAAGTCTTATTGTTTGCACTCTGGAATATATAATTCACCAACAGACGTGAAAACCGTCTTCTTTCTTTGGCTTTAAAGTAAATAAATAAATAAATAAATAAATAACCATCTCCATGATTTCCTCAACATTTTTATTATTTTTATTTTTTTAAAGATCTTATTTATTTATTCACGTATTTATTTATTTAGAGGGGAACGTAGGGAGGAAGAGACGGAGAGAACCATCAGTGTGAGAGAGAAGCATTGATCGGTTGCCTCTTATATGCCCCAACAAGGGACCAGGCCTGCAACCCTGCACGTTCCCTGACTGGGAATTGCACTGGTGACCTTCTGCTTTGTAGGACGATGCCCAGCCAACAGATTCACGCTGGCCAAGGCTCCTCAACATTTTTAAAAGGTATTAAAGACATAGTTGGACATTATTGGGTTGGAAGATAAATCTGGTTTTAATATGGTGGGGCTCCTCTGTGTTCCCTTCCAATAGCAGAACACATTCTAATAGCACGGCTCGCTCTTTGCTTGCTCCCTTGTCCCACGTCGGCCCCATCTCTCCAGCAGCTGAATTCCAAGAAGTGACTGTATGTGCTAGAACACACACACTGGGCAGGGGCGTGGCAGATATGGATCGTGATGGCAGAGGAAAAGCAAGGCCAGAATCTGACTCATGGCAGCGTGGTGACCTGATAAAACAAGGTCTACAGAATAATGGTAGTAAGAGAGAATACTCTGCTCATTTCCCGTGGGGGTCATTCTGGACTTGTGTTTACAGCAGGTTTTCGTAGCAGGTCAGAATCGCCTGACCCCGTGGCTGTCCTGGCCTTGACCCTCTTTCCTGCCACCACTCTGTGGGTAGAGTAGGGGAGGGACTGTTGTTGCCAGAAGTCACTGATCCAGGAGCTAGAGATACAAGGAAGACAAGTCTCCACTCTCCCTGAGAACTCTTGGGATAGTACCCAACACAGAGTTGCTTAAAACCAATCATAAGGATTTCCACTCCTGGCCATAATAGAGTAACAGGAGCAAGAAAACAAAACAAAAAGCAACCCCAGAAAAATACGTGGAACAGTTTTCAGACAGAGGACAATAGGCAGCACAGTACAGTGATTCCTGAGAGAGGAACAAATGAAATGAGCTTACGATTGTCCTGGCTTCCTGCCTGGAGGGAGTTTCCAGACCAGGCACTCCCAGGTGGAAGCCCAAGCAGAGCCACACTGAGACGAGGGGCAGAGCCCGGAGTCTGGGGCCCACGGCGATGGGAGTCCCCAGGGAAGGGCACCAGAGAAGAGAGCTGTGCAGGAGAGAGCTGAGAGCCGTGGAGGGCCCCTGGAGGCCCCAGGGCTGCTCACCATGTGCATGTGAGGAAACCACTGAGGCTGAGAAAAGAACCAGCAAAAAGCAGCAATCAGAACAATCCTCACAGGCTGGGGAACAGTCCATGTTCTCACTAGACAGGATATTAAAGCAAAACCTTGCATATATGAGGTACTGGGTACAGTTCTCAGAAAATGAATCTCTAAAAATTATTGCCTAAATGAGGCCTAGATAAAAGGCTACTCTGGACCCACCCAGCAAAGTTGAAAAGCAAGCCTGAAAAGGATCGAATTATTACTAAGTAAGCTAACTGCATTCCAAAAACAAAACTAAAAAATGTTTAAAGAAATGCTAAAAAAAAATCCATCACCCAACAACATATAATCATCAGTGTCTGATATCCAATCAAAAATCACCAGGCATGCAAAGAGGCAAGAAAATTAGACACGTAATAATATAATAATGAGAAAAATCAATCAATTACAGACTCAGAAATGATACAGATAATAAAATTGATAGAGAGGACATTGAGACATTTATTATATTTTTTATGTTCAAGAGGGTAGAAGGACCGAGCATGACAAAGTCATGAAAGACATTTTTAAAAAGACCCCAAGTAAACTTCTGTCAATGAGAACTACAACTTTCGAGAGGATTCACAGCAGATTAAGCTCTGCAGAAGGAAAACTCAGTGACACAGCAACAGAAAATCGGAATTGGGTCCCTCCCCTCTCTACATCCTCCAGCTGCTAATTTCTACACAGTACACTTGTTCTAATCAAGCATCCTTAATAATGTTCTTCCACAGGTTTTGATTTCACTCTGCTTCTGAAAGAAACACCCAAAATGGTGAGGGAATCACCTTAATTATACTTATATACATAATGTGTTATACATATACATTATATGTATCTACATATATAGTATGTATATGTATATGTGCTTACATATGCATAAAATGTTTCTTGAGGGATACCCAAGTTGCCTCTAAAAAAGAATCTAGGTGTCTGGGGCAAGGAATGAAGGGAAATTTTACACTGTCCTTTTGTACCCTTTGTATCCATTGGACTATGTGAATATATTACTTATTCAAAACATGAATAAAATATGTAATAAACTATATGTGATGGTCACAAGTGAACCCAACCGTGAAGTGTGAATGGAATCAGGAAGGAGGTGGGGTTCCTCAGCCACCGGGATGACTAGGTGCCCAAGGCTGTGTCCTCGGATGGAGCGAGTATCCAAGGTCCCACCTATGATGGGTGAGGAGGGAGCTTGAGACCCACAACGATAGCCACACAGTTGCCCCAAGGGATAGTGAGTGGCACCTCCCAAGCTGGTTGTTAGGTCAGTATGGCCCCTAACCTCCGCTTGGAGCGGCATGAGAGTCGTCAGTGCTACATTGACTGAGCAGGTTGCGGTTTAAAGGCAAAGCACTGCAAAGACTGGAACCATTAGGTACAAGTTACAGCGATATACAGTTTTCAGCTCCATACAAGGAACAACATTCTAAAATAAAAACAAAGAGTGAACTGAACCCCTCTGGGAGGTGGTGAGTTTACTGCCTCTGGACATGTTTAAAAATTGAATGGCCACACGGCAAGGGGGCCACAGAGGAGACCCAGCAGCCCTGGGGGCGGGCGCCCTGCATGAGGCTTTTCGAGTGCCTCTGCACGTGTGGAGAGGGAGAGGAGGGGCCAGAAGTGAGCCCTTTCTCCTTTGCTACAAGAACAACGAGTCAAACAAGACAGGTAGTAGAAGCATTCGCACAGAACCCATCAGGTGGCACTCACTGATGAGGAGTTTTTAGGAATACTCTCCCCTTTCCAAATATTGGGGCATTTATCTTCCTGGTGGCCCCTGGCACATAATTACTGAAAACCCTCTGCTTTCCTATATTCTAATAGTTCTATATTCTCTCAGTTAACTGCATTCGTGTAACGAATTTATAGTGTGAGTAGGAGTAATACTTCAGGATTGGCTTTTTGCTACCTTTGCCTAGAACCAGCACCTACCAGGGAAAAGGATATCCTAGTTTGTCAATTCTGTGTTTAAGGAGAATATAAAACAAAGAGAAGCAATTCTGAGAAATATGTACCCTCTCCCTTGCAATTTTTTATCAACACAAAAAAAGAGGGAGAACAAAGAGCTAGATAAAGGACGGAAATATTTTTGGGGGGACTAAGCCAAATAAATTTAAATGGTTTAAGGAAGAAATTGGTGAAGGAATTTGAATCATGGACAGGTGCTATGAATGTAATTTAAAATGCTAGGGAATCTGCCAAAGAAGAGAAAAATGTGTTGCTTTTGAGATCATTTCCCAGCAGCTCCATAAAAGAAAACTGATTACAGGAATTTAATAAGTAAAACTGAGCCAAAATATAGTAATCAAATGAGTTTTTAATTACATTTCAGGCAGAAAAAAAATCCAATTTTTGCTCCTGGGATTAAAAAAAATAAGTTCTAGAGAAATGCTTTTGTAGCAGGAAAATAACATAAACACTAATTTCCATAGGAATTATAGTAGTCAGTTTAATTAAAAGGCTTAAGCAGAGTAAAGGGGAGCCAGTGCCAAACTATATTAAATAGAGCCACAGCATTCATTGCTACCTCATACTAGTGTCTAATTAAAGCTCTATGCATTGAGCAGAAATATGTACCTGCATTTTCCCCATGGAAATAGACAGGATTTTGGTCACTGCCTGAGTTATTCAGTTGCTGCGTTACTTTTATATGGAATAACTAATACATCTGATTTAATATTAGATGTTGCTATGTGTTGCTTGATGGGCTAAACATCACTTTTGTTTTAAGAAAGAGAACATGTCTGTTTAAGGGGTATCTATGTGAATGAGCATCATCTCAGCCAGGTTGGAGTGCTCACTGCCCTGTGGAATACCGGGTTATTTCTGGGCTTTTCAACCCCCTCTTACTTACTTACTTACCTTACTTCTAGGTATGTTTTACTCGTGGTCCTCTGACTTCCTGGAGTGGGAGGTGGAGCGGATAAACAGGTGGTTTGCCACCGTGCTTAGGGAAGAACATCCTCAAGTAGACGAGCTATTGGAGAACCACTCCTGGCCACAGGCCACGCACAGAGAAAGCTGCTTAGGAGACGTGCTGAAACCGCAGTGGGTTTGTTTCCCTGGTGGTGAATGGGACGCGCCAGCGTGGTGTCGACCTCAGGGATCCAGTCTGTGGCCACAGAACACTGACCCAAGGCAGAAAGCGGAGACTCCGAGTGTTACGTTTCCATGAGCTGACGCCCCCACAGCTCCCCGATCCGTGTTTTCATCTGTTGCCTTGTTCCACTGGAGGGGCGATCCAAGTTTTGTGAGGCCAAAAGTTTTTGAGGACTTTAAAAAATACGAAATTAAGTAACAAGGAAATTTTTAGAGGGATCACCTGCAATTAGGAAACCAAATCCTGAGCTTCATTAGCCTCACGGTCTGTCAGCTTCTGGCCACGGGCTACACGTCCTCTTCCTTCATCTCTCCTACTCCCCTCCGTCTCTCTCCTCCACACTCCTCTTCTCTTCTCTCGTGTCTATTTCCACGCATGTCCTCACGGTGCTCTGCACATTGGGCACAGCTCCCAGATTCTTAGCTTTAAAAACAAGCACCTCTTCTTGTTTCAGGATTTCCTTTGCCTTTCTTATTCAGGTAAGTCCACCTGGAGTCATCTACGGTAGAGTAAATGGTAGGTTTATTTTTGTAAAAATTTCATTTCATGGTCTATTGAGATCTAGAGGCCTCCATGGCAGGCAAAAATGTACATATTAGCAGACATGTGTGAGCTACACACTGCTGTTTTGTTTCCTGTGTTTTTCAATGTGAATCTAAAACAAGGTCATGACCGAATTGTCTGCCACTCTGGAGTAGTACCTGGCCACCTGGTTTTTTTTTTCATATTCTGCATAGCCTCTATTGATATAAAACAATGGCACTAAATACATATCTACTTCTTATAAATAGCTCCTGGTTACCAAACAATCATCACTTTTCATTTCTTACAGCTGGTTTCCATTCTCATAAGTGAAAGCTGGAAAATCATGTCAGTGACTCTGGTTCCTGACCCCCCAACCTTTTTGTTGTTTTATCTTAGGCATTGGTGAAGGTCAATGTGAAACTCAAGCCAATGCTGGATTCAGTGGCTGCCAACAGAAGTAAGTGGGAGGAGTTGCACCAGAAAAGGCTGCTGGTCTCAGCTGCCTCCCCCTCCTCTGCGGGCCTCACAGTGGCTGGTGAAAACAGTAACTAACCCTCGGGGTCAGCTTCTGCTGCACAGTGACTGCATCCTGAAAGGCCAGCTTTGGTCCAGCCACATCATCGTTTTGTCCTTTAAGCTCAGAGAGACACAAAATCTGAGGGATGTGCTGGGAAGCATGTCTGGGCTTTCACCTTGAAGTGTGGTCAGCAGGAAAGAGCGAAACAAGGAGAGAGGAGGAGGTGGGGCAGGAATCACATCCCACGACCCTCAGCTTCTCTGCTGAGCAGACATGGGCTGAGACAGAGACAGGCGCTGGACGGAGGAGGCCCATGGTGATCCAGGATCTGAGGACAGCTGGCCCTGCTCATTTGGAGCCACGGGAATGGAAAACAGCATAGGTGTCCTTAGCACTGCTTCATTTTGCACACGGCTCTTTTATTTGTTCCATGCCAAACAAAGCCTGACATTGCATCCTTTCCCGAGAGCCCTTTGTGCCAGACTGTCCCAAGAATCCCAACTTGTATTCTGTAGAGGTATTTTGCTTTTATCCTAGAGCTTCTTAATGGTGGCTCAGAGCCTATAGACTTGCCTCCCTAAAAGATAAACTGTATTGTCCTTACAAACACCAACCATTCTCACATTTTCCCTAAAAAAATAATCCACAGTAGAAATACATCAAATGTGTTTGTCTTGTTGGTGTTTATATAAGATTCATAACACTGCATTGAATCTTGGTCCCCTTTTTTAGTTTTATAATTCAACTTTCATTACAGAGCAAAGTCTATTCCTAGAAGGAATAGATTAACTGGCTTTAATTAAAGTCAGGCTGAATCCTGGCTGGTGTGACTCAGTGGATTGAGCACTGGTCTGAGAACCACAGAGTCACCAGTTCAATTCCCAGTCAGAGCATATGCCTGAGTTGTGGGCTAGGTCCCCAGTAGGGGGCACACAAGAGGCAACCACACATTGATGTTTCCCTCCCTCTCCTTCTCTTTTCCTTCCCCTCTGTCTAAAAATAAAATAAATAAGGTGTTTTTAAAGAAAGTCAAGATGAAAGGATTCTAGGAAATCTACCGTTGGATTTACCACAAGTGACATGTGAACATTTAGAAAATATTTCCAAATGCAAAACATTTCACAGGACACCACAGCACCATGGAGAGTGATCATTGACTATCTTGTGTTCTCCTAGTGATGGTTTTTGTATAAAATTGAAGACTACTCTCCGTACCAACCTACAGCCAAATATAGGAGTCCCTAATTTTGGATTTTTCCTTGAGTGTAAGAAATAATACTTGAAAACTAAAGGAATAATGGTCTGGACAGAGAACAAATATTCTATTAAAAGACTGAAAGAAGGAGAAAGGACCAGTCAAAGAACACACATGAAGAACCGGTGGACAGGGATAATGGTGTGAGCATTGACTGTGGGAGTGTGGGGTGGGCTTGGCAGAGGGGGGCAAAGGGGGAAATTGGACAACTATAATAGCATAAACAATAAAATGTTTTTTAAAAAGCCAGGTTTATCATGGGTAAGAATAAACTATATTAAATGGATGTAATGACTAGAAAGCTACGTTGTGTCCCATTTTATGTGAGACTGAGGACATCCTATGCCTTCTCCACAGAACACAAGGCTAGTGGCTAAGACGTGTGCTCCTAGCTTTGGCACTACTGATGGGATGACTTTGGATAATTCACCTAACTTCTTCTGGTCAGTTTCCTCGTTTGTCAAATGAGATTACACTAGGAAATTATTTTCAAACATGGTTTAACCTTGGAATTCTTTGTTGAAATACATCTAACAAGGAATCCCCAAGACATAAAACATTTAACAGCCAAAGTCATCCATTTGAAGCCGTGTTTTCGATGATGTGTGTGGTGGTCCATGAAAGGGCTGTGAGGGGGTTGAAAATTTCTAGACCAGATGAACCTTAAAATTTAAGATTTAAAATTTAAAATTTTATAAACCATGTTTGTTCTTTTTGCCACTGGCCATTATCAGATATTAACTCTATCACTCAAATACTAAGGAAATGGCGGGTCAAGTTCCACAAAGAACATTGTTTTCCTGGCAAGAGTAGACACTCAGGAAATGCATAAAGAATGGGTACATTAAGGTACCAAAACGGAATTGCAGGAACAGCAGACATTCGTAGGAAAGAAGTAAGATTCCAGGTGACCAAAAATAAACTAATATTATAAACCAGGCAAAGAGGGGGGAAAAGAAGGAGGAAGAGAAGGAGGAAGAAGAGAAGGAGAAGAGGGGAAGCAAGAGAAGACGACCAAGAAAGAAAAGCTAGGCACCGAGGCAGCTGTGAAGAGAACTGCCAGAGGAAAGGTGAAAGTCAGTCCAAACAAAGAAAAATGGTACTTCCAACCAAAAAAATGAGTGCAGAATCAGGGTACAGAATCCTGTCACCGGTTGCTTAGAAGAGAGAAATACTTGAGCAGGGAGGGGGTTTGACAAAAAAAAAGAGAAGGAAGGAGTAAGAGTCTTAAAAAATAATGTTTCTAGCTTCTCTTTACAGCTGTCTCTGCAGGGAAGACTGGAGAGACTAGAGGAGAAAATGAGAGCAGGAAAAATAGCCTCCACAGAGCAGGGAAGAGGAGGTTGTTCAGATTTATGGGTTTTATTAAGCCAGTTTTCTGAATCACTCTGCCATAAAGGAAAATAGCTTCTGCTGGGCTGTCTCTCTCTCCTCCTCAGGTAAGGAACAAAGGGTGGGTGGAGTTAGGGACAGGCCCTGGGCCTGTGTCTGCCGCTCAGAAGCACTGCAGGTGTTTCTGGCTACTGTGTCGCATTATGTTTATGTCACAAACGGGAATTGAAAATCAGTCCATGTGAGGCAGGCATGAATCCACATCTGTTATCCTCCCCAACAATAAATAAATAAATGAATAAATAGCCCAGACAGACGGATGCCAGTCTACCTACAGCAAAATTTTAAAGCATGTGCTTGACGATAAGACTAGACCCAGGGTCCGATGGAGACTGCAGGCAGCTACAAGCGCGATGACTATCCTGCACAGTGATGCTGCATGTTGCTAAGGGGAACATAATTTATAGCACAAACCCTATGGCTTCCACAAAGGTTGAGTTTTCCTCTCATTTCCTTGCCTTTTTATTGGCTTCACTGCACGGTTGCCAATAGCAACATCCACTGGTAGCAAGGGGAGTTCAACACCATTGCAATCTGCCACACAGTGGAGCCCTGACAATGTCAACCATCAATCAAAGAGCTGTTTGTAATTGCCTCCATCTATTTTTCCTGTCTCAGAGTGTCTTTCCCATTGTGGGTCAGAATTCAGAAACTGCTGACTAATGCCACGGGTGGGTCCCCCCACCACCAGGAAGCAGTGGGGAGGAGGGGAGCAGCTTCTCTGGTGCCGGCAACCCCCCGGGTTAGGGGCTGAACTCTTGGGAGTTAAAGGCATTTTTAGTCCCTTTTCTAAATAATGTATAATTTTCTAAGAATGTGAGGTATGTATTCCATGTATTCTGCTTTTCTAAAACAGAGAAAGAAATTTTCCCAGTTCTTGTTTTTGGTGGTTTGTTTTTTTTCCCTATTGTAGGAAGGCATTTAAAATGGGAGCCTTCCTATAAAATTTCCAACTCACCAGATTATGGTTGCTTCCTTGGGTGGGTCTCTTGGCATTCATATTTGAAATGACTTCATCCTACTATCTCCACGAGATGCATTTTTTTTCAGAGATACTATTTATTCTCTTATTACTCAGTGTGTAGATAACACATGCGCAGCCTACAATGTGGCTGGCAATCCTGGCCAGTAGGGTCAGCCTGGCAAACTGTTAAAGGCACCATCCGGTGCGCAGTGGGACTGGGGCTCCATCCTGGCGTGGCCACCGGCTGGACCTGTAATCTCGGGACTCGCCAGGTGTCAGGCTTTCCATCTGTAAAATAAAAGCACCAACTTCACTTCCACACTGAAGGACTGAGCTATATTTAACTTTAAAAAGTTTTTCCAGATACCTGTATCATTTACTGTGCTTGAATAAAATCAGAATAAACAGAAAGAGGTCATCTCATTAAAGACAGAGTACAAGGCTACATATATGGGCTAGCTATAAAAACAACCTTACCACAGATATGTCTGAGCCTGCCTCTAGTGACCATAAGAGATATTATCATCAGTACAATTTTCTTAAAATTTACCCTTTTATCATATAAAGGATAATTTTAGACTTTCTCATATCATAGATATCCAATAAGTAGTAGTCCATTTAATTTAGAAATAAATTCATAAAGTGAGGAAAAGAAGTTAAAACTGCATGTGCATTTTCTGTTTCTCAAATTTTTGACGTCTATGCATTTCCAAGTATTTTATATTTACACACACTTTGGGTTAGAAGTAACCTTTAACTTTTTGTTAGTGTAATACAATATTACCATTACAGGAATTCAGTTGCTTTTTTGCATATCAAAATTTTTCATCTTTTTTCCACTTACCTTATAGGTCATCAACCAGAATCTGCTCAATTTACTTTGCATTACAATTATTTTCAAATCCATTTCCCTTGCTGACTTTTCTTGAATTGTGGAAACATAAGATACAGTTTTATCCCTAGTAACAGTGTGAAGCGATTCCCTGAAAGTGGGATGGAAACCTAAATGTATTAGGGAAAGATTTAAATCTAAAGAAAAATATTTGGGTTGGAAAAAACATCAGAAAGGATTCACTAAAGCTACAAAAGAAAACCTGATTCGGACACCTGAGAACCCTGGCAGCGCCACTGCAGTGAAGGTTCGTTGTCTGTTGTTCTGCCACGGGCTGTGAAGAACTCCCCAAACTCACCTGGGTCGGGAAATGTAAAGGTTGAGTCTGGCTACGAGAAGGCCAGAATCTCATGAGTTTCCTAAGCGGTCAATAATAAAGTAAAACACATAGCTGGCAGAAATAAAACAAAGTGTGTCTGGAGAATTTCACGATGAGCGCCTGGACCCAGGAATGGCCGATGTCCTGACTGTGTACCCTCTCCTCAGCTCCGTAATGTCGCATTGTACCTCTTTCTTAATTTAATTTTGGGTGTTCTTACATATTTGGTACATTGCTCAACAGTGCTCCTGACAAGTTGTTTGTCTGTGTATCAACTCCCCACCAATGTCACTGAGTGTATACACTGCTACAGAACTGTTTGTTTTATTCAGTAAATTAAGTATTTGCTTTGAAAAAAAATGTTATTTGCAGCCATCATTTATCTTTGTGTTCCTTTTCTGTGTGTATATGTGTCTGTGTTAGAATCTCATTTTTCCTTCAGATTTAGATTAAATCATATTTAGATGAATTAAAAAAAATAAACAGCATAGTGAGGAAATAATAGGAGGCTAGGTTTTGTTGAGTCTCATTCCCTTGGGGAAAAATTGCTTTTTGCCATTTTATTTTGATGTACAATACTCTAAAAGGGATCTTCCACTGATTAGCTTCCTAAGTATTGTTTTCCACAAAAGAAGGGAAACACGTTTTCAGCTGAGTGGTCCGAAGTCACTCCCTATGTGTAGATTTCCCAGGCTGATGTCTCGCTGTAAGAACACTGCATTATAGACGGCTTGGCCACTTCACAAGCAACTAATCCATGATTTTGCAATAGTCTGCTGCTTTAAGAGATCTACATATCTTTGTTTTTAATAAATGCTTAAAGTTTAACTAAGGCTTTGGAATAATCTTTCTCTTGAGAAGGGTGATTTAAGGGCTGAGAGAGGCAAGCATGTATCTGAATACCAACAATTTAAATCTTGACTGTCACTTTTAGCCCATTAACCTTGTCTTGATCTGTGATGTTTGCCTATGTGAGAGAAATACTGGGACCTCCCTGTCCGTGGAGCATTTTAAAGATGACAGAATAATTCAAATTATTGAAGTTTGTCTAGAGGGAGAAGAGTCTGCAGCCAAATGCAGGTTCCTGAGTCCTTACAGATTGCTCAAATTTGCATGGGTAATTACACTGGGGGGTTGCATCCATGCAGAGCTGCCAGCCACACGGATGCCGTACAATTACACAGCGGCTTCGGTGCTTAAACTTTAAAATTCTTACACCATTGTGCCTGTTCTGTTAGAACAAACTGCAGCAAATGATCCAAAGCCAATTCAAATGACTGAAGAGGAGGTGCGGGGGGTGGGGGGGGGGGGTGAGAGGGAAGAGGTACAGCATAGCCCCTACTGGCCAGCTTGAGCAATCACCAGTCCTCAGCGCTGGCTGCCACAGCCACTGGCTTCTTTGTGCTTTGTAGTCCATGCTTTTCAAGTGGGACCAACAATAAGAATCACTGAATTCACAGAAGAGCTGTAAAGATTAATGAGGGAAGTTAGGCAAATCAGGACCTGGTCCTGGTACAGAAAGTACTTGAACAGGGGGGCTAGCGTAGCTCTTTGTTTGGATGGTTGGTTGGTTATTTTTAAATGTCAGTATCCACAGTTGTGCCTTCTCTAATTCCTTTTATAAACTGTATGCTACTGTGATCTCCCTGGTAAGTTAATTTAGATCATAACACCGTAAGCCCCCAAATACAAAGTACTTGATACAAAACAAGGTATGGCCAAGAAGAAAATCTAATTAAAATATTAATAAAGCTGGAACTACCAGGGAAAAAAGAGTTCATAATGAGGTTAAATGTCTCACCATCTGAGTGTAAATGTTCCCAAGCATTGATTTGGAATACATACAACCTCTCCAAAAGTCTTAAAAGATTGAACAGATGCTCCTGAAAGTCAGTCAACTACATTACCAATTTGGCACTAATTTATTCTTCCCTGTTTGTGTTGAAAGATGGGGGATGGGAGGCAACAAGATAACTGAGCAGCCCAAACTGGGTGTCCTGCAGAAAATGGCCTGGAATGAAAGGGGGAAAGAAATAACAGCTGGAAAGTGGTTTTGCAGAAGGTTTTCCATTCCTAAGGAAGATGTCTGGCCACAGCTGTGGTTGTTGAGATGTTCATAAATTACCATTGTTTATCAATAGGAAGTGGTCACATTTCTAGGATAAGTAAGAAAACATACCTTCCAACTAGTTGTAAAAGAGAATGACAAGTAGATTAAGTGTACGAATAGAATTTGATGATCTCACATTTTGGCAGGCAGAAACATAAGCATGTTAAGAAGCAAACATCATGTTTTTAGCTTCTCTATATTTTGACAGAATGGAATTCTTCTATGTGGTAAACAAGCCTCCCCTTATGCAGCAAAATCCAACACCATTTTCCCAAAGTCTAATTCCTGTCAATGATGCACTAAATCATTTTATTGTAACCACTAAATGCTTTCTTATTGCTAGAAGGGCACGTTACAGTTTCTTTCTGATATATGCTCCAGATTTTCAAGATTCTATTGGAAACTAAATGATCTTCATGACATTTTAGAATATCCCACCCCATTTATTGATTTCCAGAATTTCTATCACTAATTAAAGGGTCTTCTTTTACCATCTTTTCCCCCCATCCCCCCTCCAAAAAACAAATCTATCCCCAACTGCTTATCAGAGATTAAATAAAAGTCAGTCCATCACAGCAGCAGTCCTGGTCATGCCAATTTCGCAGTGTGATTTGTGCACTCATTTCATTTTGAAAATGACCCTGCCCTCCATCTGTCTAAGCCGAATGTCCTGCTTTTTTCAAGCCAACACATTCAAGCCAGCCAGCCTCCCTCCTGCTCCGCCCAGCTGCCGTGCTCACAGATAGGTACCAACACAAAGAGGGGAACCTCAGCTGATGCCTGTAGAGATCAGAGAAATTTGCAGCAGAGCAGATAGCCCTTCTACTTTCCATATTATTTCTAGGGAACCATTAGAAAGTAAATGCTTTCATGATACAACTCTTGGAAACAGAGTGACTGACCTAAGATATATAAGGCAATTTCCTGTTCCCATGGTCTATCATCTTACCTTGACTTAATAGCAACTTACCTAAAGTAACAGTTCATACATAAATACTTTAAAATACTGAGCCTGAGTTTCCAAGGGACAAGTGTAGTCAAGCAGCCATAGAAGTAAGATTCTCCCCGACTCATCCTCAATGATTGAGTGGCACTTGCCAAGATCCCTCCTCAATCCATGTGCCTCCTTAGATTGAAGGCCCTTAAGTGGTGCACCTAGAGACTGTATTGAAAGAAGCATTAAAGTAGGGTAATGGTTACCCTCATCAGCTGTGTTCTGTGGGGAAATTTAGGTGGCCCAGAGCCCCACTCAACTCCACCGAAATAGGTGTAGGTTGTCCCTTCCTTGGTATTCACACAGTGGAAGCTTCCCTATGTAATTCCACCCATAAAAACACAGCTTTGTCAATTTATGAGCAAGGGAAAAGACTGAATGAGTACATGAAGTCAGTTGTTTTACAACAGTAGCAATTGTAGGTCAGCAAAACTTGCCTCCTAGCTACTCCAGGTGACTGGGAGCTATACCACCCCTACTAGTTACTTCCTAACATCTGCTCACAGCTGTAATTCAGGCCCGGAAGATCGAATTTCTACTGCCCAAACCAACCTGGTTAGTTTTTTTAAAGAAGAACAAAAAGACACTAATCTACCATCATACAACTTGCCACCAAACACTGGGCCCTTAAAAACTCATCTGTAGAAAGTATATGAAATAAAGTATTCATCAGTCACTATTTCCTACTGAAACTAGCTGTTGGATACCATGGTAAAGTCACTACCTAACGGTCTTCAGCAAATTATTTGAAACTTTCTAGTAGACAGATTCTTTATCTGTAATATATAGAATATAGGGTGGATATTAAAATTAGCATTAACATATGTAAATAGTCTAATCGAGTGCCATATCTTATATATAGTTGTTGCTGGCTCTGAAATGTATAAATAGAAGAGATGGAGGGGCAGCACAACTATAGAGGAGGCACATAAAGGACTTGTACTTAAGTCTTTAAATATATAGCAAATGCTTT